GGCGTCCTCCAGCACGGCCGCGGCTTCGGGACCCTCCTCCTCCGCCGTCATGCGAGCCCTAGCGATCGCGCTCAGGAAGAGAAAGACATCCCCGTGTGCCTTTGCTCGATTTTATTAGGACCGACACATTCATCGTTATGTCACAACTTCCACGGATCAATGAGTTTTCGAAAAAAAACCAAAAGGCCAGCGCCGGCCAGCAAGATAATGGGGCTTATTATATAGTAACATCTCCGAAAAGGCATTAAATGTTGCTTCCCGGCCCGCGAGCCCTCCCCTTCCCGCCCGCCAAGATCCCCTTCCCGATGCTCACAGCTTTGATTGTATCGATAAGCGTGGTTCGACAAAACGTTTCCCAGCTGCCAGGTTATTCTCACGGCCACAAAGAGGCTAAACTAGAACTCAACAACAAAAAAGGAAGGAAGAAGGGGGGAAAAAAAAAGGGGGGGGGGCAGGAATTCTTTTAACGTTAAAAAATAAAATAAAATAAAAAGCGGATATGGCAACACTACTAGTAAAGTGGAATACATCACGGAAACAAAAGTCTTTGCAGGCAACACTGTTTGGAGACAGGAGAACACTCGGTGGGTGAAAAAAGTGAAACGCTAAATTATATACAAGAGTATCTAAGGGTGGCGTTGAAAAACAGTCTCGTTTAATGTGACTCAAGGTTTAACTTGCCGTTATCTATTGCTTATTTATTCAGGTCTGTAATAACACTTATATAGAGACGGATGTGTAAAAATGAAACATTGTGGGAAAAAAAAAACCCAAACAAACAAACAAACGAACAAACAAAAAAAAAAAAGCTTTTCGGATGAAACGCAAAGTATCCGCTCTGTCCGATGTGGAATGTACCTACAGTCAGTTCGTCTACAGGGCTCTCATCGCAGCGCTGCTCCGTATAAAACCAGTTGGTCCGCCCGGCAAGCTGGCTGGATATCCGCCTTGCCCGGCACGAGTTTTATTTATTTATTTATTTATTTATTTATTTATTTTCCCCCCGAAACCGTCTGCAAGCACCTTTCACTCCGAAATCCTTTTCCCTCGGAAAGTCCGACTTGCCCGACGGCGAACAGACAGGATCCCAAAGCGTCTGGTAGTGAGATGGAGAACAGGCAGAAGCCCTAATCCTTATGAAGGACGAGATTCAGTTGTTAAACTTTAAGGGGTATCCGATGGCTTTTTCCAGGCACTCTACCAAAGAGCCAGCGGAAAGAAAATCCCTCTCCACTTCCACAAATTTGATGTAGATGGATTTGGGCGACACGCCGGGGTCTACGATGCAGTTCTGAGATAAAAACCCATTGATCCCAACCCACTCTTTGCTGAAGGTTTTGGTGTTTGCCTGAAAGTGTAAAAACAGGCACTGCTGGAGAGTCCTCACCTCGGCAATGCCGAGGTAACAGTAGATAATTCTGGCCGCCTCCATCTCCACCCGGAGCGAGGCCTGCGGCGACGGGACGTCCATCTCCCCCGGCGCCTCGTTGCCGGCGTCGGGGCCCCTGTGCTCCGCGAGAGGCGAGTGGGGCTTCTCGTGGCACTCTTCGTAGCCGATGGCGTACAAACCCGGGCTCTTGGGAATCCCTCCCGGCAATAAATACTGCACGACGTTTCCGCCGGTCGGCTTGGAGTGAGCGATAGGTATCCAGTCAATCTCCATGTGCAGCTCGAGGCATCTCGCTTCGCTGATGGTGATCTCTAGGAATTTGTAGTAAACGTTTTTCCAGTTCATTTTCTGCACTCTGGTCATGATAACCCGGCCCTCCGGTTTCTCCGAGTTGAAATACTCCCGGAGCCGTTTGCCGAGGGGCACCTGCGAGCTGATCTCGGCGTAGTGGTAGCGGATGTCCTCCTTCCAGCGCGTGTTGTAACCGATGCCAAAAATGGCCAGTTTGTTGGAAAGATGTAGCCTGGAGAAGTCTGTCCAGCTCTGAAACAGCTCCCACTTTAACTGGACCGACTCCAAGATTTGCATAATGTTCTGCATCACGTCACGCTTCCTAGAAAAACGAACACAAGGAAAAGCCGTAAGTGACAGCTTGGCCGCCACTGAAGCTGCAAAACCGGCACGGCGAACGCCCGGGCTCTCCGAAAAAGGGAATCGGGGCGCCTACTGCCCGCCGCCCCACCGGGTTACGCGCGATCTCGGCGCGGCGGAAGACCTAAGCGCCCACGAA